TTTAACATCAGATCACGCACCAAAACGGCTTCAAGTATTACAGGGTTTGTATGAGGGAACGTGTAAGGCAAGAGAAACACTTCTACAGCTCCAAACTATACATCTAGAGACGACAAACTGGAACTGGGCTCCTCCAGGAATCTTCTGTGGTTTCATGGCTTGAAATAATAATATGGTGTGAAATTGCTCGCTTTGTTGATAAACTGTCCTATTGAAATTAACAAAACGATGATGGTGAAACAGGAAGTAGTGCTTGGATTTCACAAAATCTATGATGGAACAACAAAAGCTCAGCGATCACTGATAAAGGCTATGCTTATGGACCCTTATGTGCACACACAGACATTACAAACTTGGCCGTTCGGTGCAAGTTGGAGTGTGTATGTGTGTGTACTGATGAGAACTGCTTCTTTTTCTTCCAGTCATGTCACAACAGCGCAGCATTGTGGGAGCGCTGAGTAGTGCAGAAGATCTCCATTGAGTTTATTCAGAGGCTTTATGGGGTTTTCATGGCAATGGTCCACAGACACGGGCCTATTGACCCAGTAGGAAAAAAAGATAAGACTTAAGTACATAAAAATTCACAGCCATGTTTTATTCTCTCGGTTTTGTATCTCAATCTCCAACTTTAAACCAAAGAGAAAAGCACTCCATGCAGTTTAGCCTTACATGGAGAGTCTGCTGAGGGTTTGGATGATTGATTATTTCCTCACACTGATGTCATCATCCTTCAGAATGAATTTCTTCCTCAATGCTTCAGATATAAGAGAGGCAGAATCTTCTTCCCTTAGTGAGGTGCAACCACGGTTATATCTAAATAAAAGTACACAAAACATTGTTTACTATATTTATTAATAATAACAACAAACAACAATAGGTATTAATATGCTGTGACTATTCATTAAAATAATAATTATTAGTATTACTATCATCATAAATTTAATACACACAATAACATTAACTACTATATTTTTAATAATATAAATCAATCGATCATTAATACAAAAATAATAGGCATAAATATACCATAATCATTAACACATTATTTATACTACTAATAATAACAATAATAATTATTATTATACATATCAAGTCCATAGAAATAATATTAATCGTATACTATTAAGCGGCTGTGTTATGAACATGCAAAACTCTATCGCACGCGTGCTACAGTGGTAAATTTATTCATCGCACAGACCAGGTTTTTCGTAGCACGGGCGACATATATGTCGCACTGTACAGCCCTGATCAATATATCTTATGAAATCACACAACACACAAAAAAATTATATACTAATAAATAAATTATAATAAAGAATAACTAAAATAAAAGATAATGTCACTATTCACTTTTAATAATTATTATTATTACCATAAATGTAACACTCAAAACACAATAACATTTACTATATTAATAATTAATATCAACCAATCAAAAATAACACACCATTACTAACACTGTTATCATTCATATATAATAAAAATAAAATAATAATAATAATAAACATATAATACATATGAATATGATAACAATTGATTTATATTTATAACAATAACAACTATTATTACTATTATTAATTATTATACATGTCAATAGTAATAATATTATTAGTATATCAATATACTGTATCTGATCATTGTAATTATTAATCACCCAAAACAACAACATAATTTACTATATTAATAAAGAAAATGAATAATAATAATAACAATAACAACAAAAAGCATATTATTAATATACCATTACTATTCACTTAATTATCATTAATATTATTATTAGTAGTGATATAATATTAATAAAACTTCCCTCTCATATATGCTGTACTGTGAAATGGCCTTTACAGAAGAATGAACTTAAAAAAAAACACATTCTAAACAACAGCACAAAAAAAACTGCACTCACCTGTCCTTACTCATCTTCATTCGGTTCATGTCTTTCAGGATGTCCATAACATCAGCGAAGCTTGTTGATTTTGACAGAGACAAAGTGTCCTCCTCTGGCTCTCGGAAGTCCATAGTAGGGCGATCGAGATCAAAAGTTGCAGATGCAGTCATGGAAACTGGTGGCATAGGATCAGGCACTAGCTCTGACACCTCCTCCTCTTCATCCTCTTCCTCCTCTGTGACATCACTGATGACAAAGGAGGCTGTAGGGGCTGGCTGGTAAGCAGCTGCCTCAAAATGAGCCATGGAGAAGCCCACACTAGTGTCGTCAGGGGACAGCAGGTCAGGGGTTATGGGATTCGAATCTGAAACAGTTCAACCATTTTTATGAGGGACTACAAGACAAAACCTTTACAAGCAAATACATCAAATTGACTACATTACTGGTGCCACAGACAAGTCTTAATTTTGAGCCTGAAGGCAAATTCCAATTTATTATTAATTTACCTTTGTCAGAGGTTTGTTTTGTAAATGATAGATAATTAAATGAGCTTTAGTCAACTACTCAACCTGATTCTGAAGCAACAATCTTGGCGATTTGGGCTCGGAGTCGACTCAGCTCATCCTGTAAAGCTGTAGTGCAGTTTAAAGCGGTTACTCCTGGTTTCCTCAGACCCTCGACTCGCCTGCCTTCGCGTCTGAAGTTTGGCACAGACGAGTTCCTGTGCATAACCAGCAGAGGAGTTGGCCTCCACTCATGCCTCAGGGGACGTGTGTCACTCCTGACAAATAGCAGGACAGTATTAGTTTAAAATTCATTTTCATCTGAGGACCCAACACTTTTCAATTCTGCTCTACATCTTACATAGCACCATTTTTAAAAACCTGTCAAATATAAATTCAGAGGAAACTAAATGCACCAGCACAACAAACCACTTACCTGACTCTGGCATATGTCTCCTCCTCATCATCTGCAATCCAGGCAATATCTGCCAATGTAGGCACCAAAGGACCGTTCATAGAACCCATCGGTGGAAGGCCTGGGAGTTCCTGGAGAACACATATAAGCTATTCTGTCATTTTTTACCAATTTCATTTTTGTTTTTGTTACAGAAAGAGTTTCCTCAGTCAGAGTTGTTCAAAGCTTAAAAAAAAAAAAAAACTAAGAGACCAAGTGGTTATTTAAAGAAAAAGTCACACCTTGGCTGTTCACGGTCATAGGAAATGAAAGACCCTAATGCATAGCTATTTTTAAGATGACAGACAGCTTAAAAAAACAGAATAGCATAATTTTATTGTTGCTATTTCAGGGAAATTTAGAATTATGTTTCATTTTTTTAAAAGTTGCACTTTTAATATACAGTATCTCACAGAAGTGAGTACACCCCTCACATTTTTGTAAATATTTTTATTATATCTTTTCATGTGACAACACTGAAGAAATGACACTTTGCAACTTCCAACATGATAACGACCCCAAACACACCTGAGGGTAAAGGTGATGGATTGGCCAAGCTTGTCTCCAGACCTAAACACTATTGAGCATCTGTGGGGCATCTAACAGTCAGTGTTGTCACATGAAAAGATATAATAAAATATTTACAAAAATGTGAGGGGTGTACTCACTTCTGTGAGATACTGTACATGGTCAAAAATGACCACAAACAGCCAATGTGTGACCCTTTTTGGAAAAGCTTAGGAGGATTAGCTTACAACATAAACTATCTGGGTGCATGAAAGTACGTGTGCGTTTATATGAACAATCTTTTATTCCCATACCTGGAAACAAGCCCTGGGACAAGGTTTAAGAGGCAGTGTCGAGCCGATTCTTCTCACCACACTACGAGTTGATCCATGTGGTTTATTTTGCCATATAGGGATTACCTCCTGAAGAGCAAGCAAACAAAAGTAAATATTCTAAAAATATATAAACATTGACAGAACATGAATAAAACGGCTCTTTAGATGTTTATCTACTTACGGCTTCTGTTTCCATTTTGCTGAGAGTGAAGAGAGAAAGCACCACCGCCTTGGATTGTATAGTAGTGATTCGATTATTATTATTATTATTATTATAGGACACTGAACATGTTCATCTGGGATGAGAGTTCCTTTGCCTTGAAAAATGAAGAAAAAAAAAAGAGAAACAAAGTTAAGATATTCTATTCTTCATGTGCATATAATGTGAATGCTAGTCAAGCAATCATGTACGGTATAAAAGAGAACAGTTAATGATGTGTTTGCAGCTGCTGCATATTGAGTGCTTCCTTTGTGTTACAGTTCGGAAATTAAGTGAATAAAGAAGTGTTCAGCACAGCGTAAGCTCAGGTGTTTTATGACGCTCAACCGTTCTATTATATCATTTATCTATATACGCAATCAAAACTATAAATCAAGAAGTAAATATTCAGATAGAGTAGATTAATACAATTATATATAAGAATAAACATGAAAATGGGCAAATAAATGAACAGGCGATTATGGTAGATATGGTACAAAAAAACAACAGTGCAAACTGGGAACATAAATACAATAAAACCTATCATGTACACAAGGTAAACAAACCAAAGGCGTCCTGTGACCCTCATTCCTTCTTTTAGCATATTAGCTAAAAAAACGATCTTATAATGTGCAGCTGCTAATTATGCATTTAGAAGAAATATAAGCCATACCGTGCGTGGTCAAATTAGATCAATTTCTTTTTTGCACTAGTGCAGATTACTCTGGTTTACTGTGTGATGTGAATCGTCCGGACTTCCTTTCTCCCCGTTCTGTTAGCCGATTAGCTGTTCGCTCAGCGGCCCCCGGCTGATTTGCAATAAGTGCACGAGTTGATGAGTCGGAAGTGCGTGTGGTAACTTCGTCCTGTGATTGGTTCGAATTCTGCATTTATTACCTCACAGTCCAATAGACTATGGCCTTAAATGCAAAATAAAAGTCAGTTTGCACGTGAAGTTAAAATATACAGTTTTGAAACAAATGTATGTATATAAATCAAAATAGATTTAAGATTTTATGCTTAGAAAGTTTTAACACAGACGCATTTGGTTTATGTTTTTTTTTATTTTTTATATCAATATATAACAATATTAATAAAATAAAAGTCACCCTGCAGATAAAGTTGATATTCCTGTTTAGCCATACTACACCGAAACGTCGATATATAAATTCAGATCTATAGAGAAAGAGAGATTTTCAGTCGGTGCATTCTACAACGACATTTCGATTGTAATTTGGGAATTTAAGAGAAAGTTCGAGTTTAATCGTGCGGTCCTGTTCTATTATCTAATGACTGGTGACAGATTCACTGCAGCAGCATCAAAACCCATGACAGCGAATCATGCGGAGCGTCTCGATCTGCTGCTGGTCGTTATATGGGATCATTAAATACCGAGGTAAGACAAGTGCACGTATTTAAGGATTTTAGATCATTATAACTCAAGTTTAGTGCTAAGTTTATAGAATATCATAAACACCAGCACAACAATAAGTGGTCCATCGTTAGGATTACTGCTGAAGAATTTTAATCAGGACCGATAACAATGATCTCTCAAGGATTCAGTAAAGTGAGTGACATCGGACATTAAAGTGTTTATTATTAATGTATATATCTGTTAATGAGGATGCTAGACACAGAAGTGCGACATTGTGATGCAGCTCGGGCCTGCAGCAGCACATTAGATAAGATCAACAATCCACATCTTGTGCTGTTTTGGGCCTGATTATTGCTTCGACATTAAATGACTGAAGCAGCTGCTTGTATATCTTAGATGAACCACATAATTACTGGACATGGTATTTGCTGTAATATTGGGCTCAAGTAGGCCTTAATCTGCCTACCTGTGCCTTTTGATAGACTGCATGTATTTCCTGAATTTTAAATGTCTGTATATGGATATAAAGAGAAAATGTATTTCAGTCCACAAAGCTTTATCTGCATGTTTTTACCTTAAACCAAATTCCAGAAGCATAGCCAATATATTAACTAAATACTAAAATAGTATATAAAATAAATAAGGTGAAGTAAACCAAATGTCCATTGCCCTTCTTCCTCTCATATTGCAGGTTTTCTGTAGAGTGCAGATAATGCTGATAAGGATGGTGAGAAGGAGGAAGATTTCCAGATGCCGACACAGCAGGGGGCAATCATTCGATCACTGATTCTTACACTGGAAGGGTAAACATTTTGACTGGCCATTTCTCATTCTCAGCAGTCAAACCTCATGGACCACAGAGCTCAGAGAGACAAGAGCAGGGCCAGCTACTTTGGAACTGTTAAGAACAGGTAAGGTTTGGCTGGGTTTAAAGGAATAGATGAAAAATGAAATCATCGATGTGTAGATCCAGCTCACAAAGAGACCTGTGTCATCATTTTTCTTTAGATTGGGATCAAAGCTGCCGGCTGGAATTTCGCAGCCTCCAGGCTTCATTACTGCTCAGTGTTCCATTGGCGCTCAGGGTGCGCTGGGGAAGAGTGCTGGGCAGGAAAGTGTCAAAGGACATCACCAAATCCGGAACCCCAAACTAAGACAGTACTATCTAAAGGGTATATGAATGACCATTTACAATGATTGACAAGTAACTGATTTGTAAGGCACCTAACCACACACAGGGATGTGATTCTTTTGGATTAATCAGGAATTCCAGTTATTTCGGCCTAAAATCATACCCCACGGGGGAACTTTTTTATGAATGGTAGTGAGAATTTGAGATTGCTTAGTATTATAAAATTTGCAACTGTTATGATGTAATTATATAAATATAGGCTATGGTCTGACACTGTTTTCAGTTTCGATTCATTGTAAATGCTAGCTGCGTAGAGTCGCTTTAATTTACATTTGGGAACGCAACATTCGTCATTAGAATCGTTTATAAATCTGTTGTTGTTTACAAAGAGAAGTTTCAGTGTCACGTGATCGTTGAGAAATCTTTCTAATATGCTGATTTGCTGCTCAAGGAACATTTACTATTTAATATTATCAATGTTAAAAACTGTTTTTGTGGAAACAATAGCCCCTTTCAAACAGTAATACCAGTAAATTGCTGTAAAATTACCGGAATTTTTAAAACTTATTTACCTCTAACATTACAAAATTACTCCATTGACTTTCATGTAAAATATACTTTTTTTTTTTTTGTTTGTTTTTTACTTCAGTAAAAATATTAAATCCAGTAAGTTTAAACAGGCAAAACCTCAAAATTTGGTATACTTTGGCGACATCTGGTGACCCATGTTGGTATAAAACTAGCAATTACATGAAATATGAATGGCCACTAGATGGCCGTAGTAGGACTACTCACTGGCACCTATTTAGGCCCTGGGGCTCTGTTTAATAAAATCATTTTAAATGCTCTGTTTAATCAAATCAGCAAGAAGTTGTGAACAGAGTAAGAACAGGTAGGGAAATATGGAATCCCTGTCTGATACCATGATTAAGATTAAATCTGGGTGAGGTGCCAGCACGCAGTTTGATTGAACAGTTACCATTGGAGTATAAAGTCGTCTTAATGAAATAGTTACTGAAACCAAATTTTTATTGGCCGAAAAAATTAAATTATGTTCAACAGTGTCAAATGACTTATGGAAGTCTAAAAAAAGAATGACGCTCTTATCTGAATATAGGTGGGGATAATCGATGAGATCTAAAACTAAACAAATATTATTTGAATTATGTCTGTTTCTCATGAAACCATTATAACTCTTATTGGAAACTTAATTCAATTCTGGACCAATTCTGTTTAGGTGACCATTCGCAGTTTGATTGCACATTGTTGGAATATAGCTCAACTGAGTAATGATTATTGTAATGATTAACTGGGAATTATTGAAGTGTATTAGCTAAAGCCAGGAAATGTGAAGAAGAAAATATCATCTCAAAGATGATCTCCCCCTATTTTCTCAGACAATGAAAAAAATGAAATGGTTTACTCTTCAAAACCATTTAGATGTTATGTATAAAAGGAAAGCAAACATTCAAAAAATACAATTTCACATTTGAATATTAATGGTATAATAACACATGACCCGAAAACATTTGCTGATTATTGTTCATCTTTTTATAGCTCTCTTTATGAATCTAGATTTAATGAAAAGGATACCTCTGATTTCTTAGCCTTATTAATACTAAATCTGTAAGTGAAGACAAAAAAATAGTCCTATTTGTATAGAGGAACTTAAGTTAAATAAATACCCTGGTGTGGATGGATTAACTTCCGAATTCTATAAATCTTTTTCTAAAGAATTTGCTCCTTTTCTCTTAATTTTTTTTTCTCTGAGTATAGAAATTGGAAAGCTTCTACACACCCTCACACAAGGCTTAACTACCTTAATACCCAAGCTAAAAAAAGACACATTATTTTTAGACAGTTGGTGCCCAATTTGCTTGCTTAATATTGATTATAAAATGTTAGCCTCTATATTTTCTGTTAGAATTAAAAAGACATTAGACTTCATTATTGATGGTACACAATCTGCATCAAAATATTTTGATTGGTGAGTGAAGACATTTAAAATGTTGCAAAAAAATGATATTTAATAAATGCTTCAATAAATGTAATAAATATATTTGATAAGTGCAAGTAAATGCTGTTGAACTGTCTATTTATCAAAGAATCCTGAAAATATTTTTTATCACAGATTCCACAAAAATATTAAGCAACACAAATATTTTAACATTGATAATAAAAAGAAATGTTTCTTGAGCACCAAATCAGCATATTAGCCTCATGTGACACTGAAGATGTGAGTAATGGCTGCTGAAAATTCAGCTTTGCCATCACAGGAATAAATTACATTTTAAAATATAATAAAATACAAAGCAGTTGTTTTAAATTGTAATAATATTTCACAATATTGCTGTTTTTACTGTATTTTTAATCAAATAAATGCACAAATGTAAATGTACCTTAGTGAGCATAAGACAATTCCTTTCAAAAACATTTAAAAAATCCTAAGTGACCCTAAACTTTAAAATGCCATTGTACATTAAAGCCAACTTGCAGTTTTTACACAGTAAAAATCCCAACTTATATTATTTAAATTAATTATCAGTATTGTGAATAACATACTTAGATTCAGCTGTGACTGTCATACACAGGTTTAAGTTAGTTACTGCTTGCTAAACATTCTCTGTGTGTTTAGTTTAAACAGCTGAGGAAAGTAACTGAGAAACAAACACATCTGCTTTCACTCTAGTTGATGCTGCTGAAAATTCAGCTTTGCCATCACAGGAATAAATTACAGTTTAAAATATACTAAAATGCAAATCAGTTGTTTTAAGTTGTAATAAAATTCACAATATTACTCTTCTTACTGTATTTTTGATCAAATAAATGCAGCCTTAGTGACCATAAGATCATTTACTTCAAAAACATTTTTAAAATATCTTAAATGACCCTAAACATTAAAATGGCAATGTACATTAAAGCCAGCTTGCCGTTTTATCACACACAGTAAAAATCCCAACTTATATTATTTAAATTAATTATCAGTATTGTGAATAACATACTTAGATTCAGCTGTGACTGTCATACACAGGTTTAAGTTAGTTACTGCTTGCTAAACATTCTCTGTGTGTTTAGTTTAAACAGCTGAGGAAAGTAACTGAGAAACAAACACATCTGCTTTCACTCTAGTTGATGCAGCTTGTGTTTTTGCATTTTATCTTCATAGAGGCTGCGTTTCCAGCTAAAGATCCAACAAGGAAGACTTTGGAGTCATGCAAAAAAATTGAACATGGAGTGAGTAAAGTTTTTAAGCTTATTCACACGCTCCATCGCCTTCATAATCCTGTTGATATATGATAGAAGTCTCCATAAATACAACAGCCAACATTATGTCATACATTACTGTCATCTACTGATAACTTTAGAACAAAGGTTCCTGAAACACCCCACGCTGTCTAGTCAAGCTGGAAATATCTCTAATGAAACGGTCTGAATGGATATTTCAAATAGAGCATGGAAACTTTACAGCAAATATAATAGGAAAATATCGACTGCAAAGAATTTGGTAACTAATATTTCATTATTTAAAATGAATTAATAAACCAGGAACAGTAAACTATAGGCTAAATCTGATGACCCAGCAAAATATTTCTTCTCTTCTCTTCTCTTCTCTTCTTCGAATAGCGTTCCACAGAGACACAACGTTTGAGAATACAGTTTACTGCGTCCGTTGGTTATTCAAGGTCCACCAGATGAGATGTGTTGCAACACTCCTCAGATTCTCAGTTTAACTTTTCTGCCATTTGGAAACAAACTAACTTGCATTAGTGTGCCATGACGTATGCCGGGTTTAAACAGCTTCAAGTCTAGAAATGATTGTCAAAGTGCTGAATGTTGTGCTGAAGGTTTAAAGTTAAAACTATGCAAATCATTATGCCACAGAATAAGAACAACAGACATTTGTGTGGATTTGTGATTTACATATTATCAACCAATATTTGCACGCCTGGAAACAGCTGTCTGTAGCAAAGCAACAGCGAATGTAAAATTAGAGGTTGGACGATCAGATATTACACTGTGCACAGAATTCATTGAACTCCACCTTTTAGTTTATGGAAAGAATAAAACCAGAAATAAAGGTCAGAATTGTTTTGCAGATATTTTCTTTTATGTTGTCCCTATGTATATTCAGTCATATTTGTTATATTTACTTTTATTATACACTACTGTTCAAAGGTTTGTGTTCGATATGATTTTTTAAATGTTTTTGAAAGAAGTCTCTTATTCTAACCTAGGTTGCAATTGTTTGATCAAAAATACAATAAAACGGTAATATTATTTAATATTATTACAATTACTGTACTATTACAGTTACAAATGACTATTTCTATTTTAATATATATAAAAATGTAATTTATTCCTGTGATTCCATTACTCCAGTCTTCAGTGTCACATGATCCTTCAGATATCATTCTAATATGCCCTCAGTTTAGTAAGCCTCCCCCACTCAACCTCACAGGCCCATAGGTTGTCTTTACGGTTCAGATTCTTTGAAAGAAAGTAGCAGTTAAACCCATATTTTGTGTTTTATGTATGAGATCTATTAGGGCAATTCTGCTACTTATTTACTTAAATGCAAAGGGAGACAAACATGGCAAAGGAAAATAATCGAAGGCAGGAAGTGACAGCGTCCTATGATACCATTTGCATGAATTCTGCATCTGTGTGATTGGCTCATAGTTTCTGGCCGCTGTGACTCTGTCCAGTCATCTGATGAACAAGTGGGCTCCCCCAAAGTCCACGGTATAGTTCGAACACTGGTTACAGGGCTATGAAAATGGAAATGAGGGGGTGTACAGCAGTGTGGAAAGAAGGGAAGTGAAACCGTTGTCAGTGTGACTATGTCTTTCCTTCTGAACCACCTCAAACAGTTACCCAAGAACAAGGCCTCAACCTCTACAGAGACGGCTTCTGACCTGCGTCCTAGACAAGAGCAAAGACTCGATCCTGCACTCAACGTTGGTGTTGTAGGAGCAGCGACACTTGTGTCCCCTTCCACAGATGCAGAATATGACAAGCTGATGGTGAGAGCGTAAAAGTGTGTTTACAAAATTTAGCTGTTAATGCATGAGGGTATAACTATAGTGAACAGAATGGTAAATCTCAATACAGCTGCTCTGTAGCATTAATTGACATTTTAAGCTCTTTGTGATGCCATTCTGTAGTGGTTTACAATAGCTTTTTTTCTGTTGCTTTGTGTGATGTTTATTCATCTCTCTTAGGATGTGGAGGCGGTTCCTTTACCTGATGGAAATGTATGTCTATTGGCTCTCCCATCTGAATGCTCTCAGGGGGAGGGGCCAGCCGGCATGTCTTGCCTCAAACTATTTTCTCGTTACATCACAGACAGAAAGGTGAGAATGTTGTGTTTATGCTATGCTGTTCTGTATTCCCATAACATTTCTTAAAATTCAGCATAGTCAACTTCTGACTCTCCATTCTGTTTGTCTCACTAGGGTGTGGTCTCTGGAATATTGCTGGTGACGTCCAATAAGATCTTCTTTGACCCTCAGAAGTCTCACCCACTCGTTCAGGAGCATGGCTGTGAAGAATATGTATTTTCCTGCTCTGTGGATGATCTTGCCTCCGTTTCCTTCTACACGGACATCTCTCACATTCACTTCAACAAGACAACATACAGGTGCTTCCTGCTTTACTGCTTGGATGCTGTTTCCAAAATTAATTAATTGGCTTCTGTACTACCATTTTATTAAATCAAATAATTGAGTTTTACTGATATTAACACTTAACACAGTATTTGAATGTTTGTTTTTTTTCCACAAAACTTTTTAAGTAGTTTTTTAATGTCTTTCTGTTACAGACTATTATTAGAATAAAATATATCACAATTATTCTCATGACTTCTGTTTTTAGAAAGCAGAAAGAAATTTGGTGGATGTCCAAAAAATCATTGTTACATACATATTTCTTTAATATTAAGTGCATTTCTTTGATATGTATTAATAATGTATATATTTTATACATTGAACTCATCACTCCATTAATTTTTAAAACCTTTTTTTCCAGATTTAACAGTTGTAAGCCATCAAAGAGTAAAAAAGAGCACAAGAAAACCCGTCAGTCAGCATTAGAGGCCGCTCCTGCTCCCAAGTCCTCTGTTTCACATGATCCGACAGCAATTTCGGGTGCAAATCCTGAGGAAGAGGATGAGGAAGGTGGAGAGGCAGGGGACATGGCCAAAGCTGAGAGACAGCTGACTTTGGAGTCCGGAGGAATGCTAACAGCAGCTGCAACTTTCTGTTGTGGAGGACCAGACAGCGTTCAGAGAGGAAACAAAGCATATGAACACACAGACAGAACAGAACAGCAATCATATTTGGAAAGACAACTGTTAGGTAATCACTTTTTTCAAGAACTTTGATATTTAACTTGTACTAAATAATATAAGCAAGGATTACAAATAAAAGCAAGCATTATCTCTTTTTTATCACTAAATTCACTTAGTTATTGCTCTCTTTACTCAGGTACTTGTGCTGCTACATCTAGTAGTGGTATAAATGGATCTCTGATGTTTGTGAGAATTCGACACAAACTTCAGTATGTTAAAAAGAAGGCTTTCTCAAAACCTAAAATCCCCTCCAGAGACGCCTGGTTCACCCTGCAGCAGGAAAGGTACTTAAGCCTTAGACTACACAGTCTACCTGGTGAAATGAACAGCAAGACAGGGCAGAAATGTGCTGATAATGTCATAGCACAAGCTTCTTCATCTCACTTTTTCTTCTCTCTTTCTGTCTGACATTTTGTGCTGTAGATCAGATGAGCTTTACGCTTACCTGAGCCAGCATCGGCAAGATCTGTGCATTCTGGAGGGAGGTGAAGAGGACGAAGCAGAGCGTGATGAAGAGGATTTTGTGCTTTTGGATGAGGATGAGCAGGAGGAAGAGGAGGGGTCTCCACATGAAGGCCAGGCTGGGGAAGACTGGGAGGTCAGTCATTTACTAAATGCATGGATTGGGCAAACAACTCATACTTTGCACTTTGCAAATATGTATATTTGTAAAGGTCATAATTCACTTGTTGATCTCTTAAGATAATTGCTCAACCATGTTCATGGACTTGTAGTGTTGCTCCTGTGACAACCAAGTCACAAAAAACTTTTGAACAGTAGTTTAAGTCTGTATGTAAATAATGTAAATAATTTTAGGTTTAACTGTAATGTTTTGGATCTTGTGGTTATTGCATTAACCAGCCACCTTGAGTTAGCTCTTATATCCATGCTAAACATTTTATTTTCACAAATGTTATTTGGAAATATTAATATGATATGAATAAAGATTAAACATTATATGTTCATCTGTAAAATTACAGGAAATGTTTGTCTCCTCAGCTGTATTTATTGGCATTAGGGTTGTTTTGGTGGCTCTTATTGCGTACTGAACAGCTTTGTTTTTCCTTATATACTCTGTAGACTAGAAAATTATGTATCCGTTGACCAGAACATGGTCAACTTGTAGTTGGAACTTAGATTAAAAGTCTAGTCATATCAATGTTTTTAAGAAAATGCTGTTTTATACTACAGCGCCAACACTCGCGTCTGCGCGCAGCAGTGACGTCAGCGCGTTATCGCGCGCGCTGTCTCCGCGTCCGCGAGGCTTCGCGCGTTCACACGTCTCACATTTTCGCAAATTCATTAAAAATGAATAACTTCGAGAGAATATTAGCGGAGGAAGTGCGTCGGCACAGGCACCTCTATGATCCGAGTATGCGCGATCATAGTGACCTCCAGTTGATTCAAAAAGCGTGGAACGATGTCGCTGCTGCCGCGGGGAAAGACGAAGCAGAATGCCGTAAAACGTGGAAGAACTTAAGAGACAGGTTTGTGAGGATCAAGAAGAGGGTCCACGCAAGAAGCAGTGATCCAAGTCCTTACAAGATCATGACAGAGCTGGGATGGTTAACCCAATTTGTTAAGCATCGGGGAAAAGCCCCAAATGTGAAGGTAAGAAATAAAAATTATGTTATCAAAAGACAGCTGTCTGGATGGATAGTAGCATCCTAGCTAACTTAGCTGGTCGGCTGCTCTGTCTTGTAGTGATTGAAAAAAAGTGTACCATGTTGTCTTCTAACGTTACATATTTTTGATTTCCTTGCATGATTGTTGCTATGCGGTCGCCAATAAGATTCATTTTGTAAAATGTGTGCCGTGTTCAAACAATGGAGACAAAAACATGTCAACAGAAAAGTCACTCATGAACCTCATTCATGGAAACTGTAAATCCGTTTCAGTTTACTTAGGGCTGCACGATTATGACAAAAATCATAATAGTCGATTTTTCCCTTGAAATTGTAATTGCAATTATTAATTACGATTTTTATCACAATTTACATTGAATGATGTTTATACCATTGTTTGATGCAACTGCATGCCATATTTTTATATGAAAATAAACAAGCTGAAAACACTAACTGAAAAACCTTTAGTGCTTTTCTATAGTATTAAGCCTCAAATGTCAAATATATATCGGATTGGTTTCTTCTTTAAATTATAAAAAAAAGTAAAAATATGAATGGTATTATAATGTTATACTAAAACAATGGAAAAACCCTTAAGATAACATGTAGAAAGAAAAAAACATATCTTAAGCGTGCAGAATAACATAAGTGGACTTTGAACGATTAAATGCCCCGCTTTGAACGATTACGTAATTGTGGCATCCATAATTGTAATTGAGATTAGAAATTCGATTAATTGTGCAGCCCTAAGTTTACTCTTCATTTCTTTAACGTTATTGATCGATGCTACCATTTTTTTCAGAGAAGTGTCGTTTAATGCACACAATGTAAGTCACACTTTTTACTGGAAAGTCAAGTTAAGTCACATGGGCTGTTTTAAAGTTTGTCTGCGTTGCGTAACCAATGGGCGGGGCTTGACGAAACGTCTCATTTACTGTGCTGTAAAGGGTTAGTTCACCCTAAAATGAAAATTAGCCCATAAATTACTCGCCCTCAAGTCATCCTAGGCGTATATGACTTTCTTTCAGACGAATCCAGTCGGAGTTATGTTAAAAATTGTCTTTGATCTTTCAAGCTGTTTAATGCCACTCAGTGGGGTTTGCATGAATCAGTCCAAAAGAAGTTAAATAAAAAACGCCCATCCATAAAAAAAAAAAGTCTCACACTGCTCCGGGTGAACAAAGGCCTTCTGTAGTGAATCGATGCGTTTTTGTAAGAAAAATATTAATATTCAAAACGTAATAATCACTTTAATGTAGCTTATTTAATGTAGCATGGCTGAGTGCCATGAAACAGCTTGAAAGATCAAAGACAATTTTTTATATAACTCTTGACTGGATTCATCTGAAAGAAGAAAGTCATATACACCTAGGATGACTTGAGGGTGAGTAATTTATGGGCTAATTTTCATTTTTGGGTGAACTAACCCTTTAAAAGCTGAAATTTAAATAAGACAGTTTGACAAATCATTTGATTGTTTTTAATTAATTCAAAGTGTCATTTGTATGTTGTGCAGCATGATAGAAATGTACCCTTTTATCTTCTAAATTCATCTTAATTTCTTTAACGATCATTTTTAATTAAAATGCCATTCATAAAATTTGATCTTTTTCTGTTGACATATGCCAATCTTCTCCAATCATTTAGTCAGCTTAAACACCTCCTCTTTCTTACAGTTGGCTTCAAGCTTGCATTCAGATCAGATTCTCCATCCAATCAATGATGGATAGAGCCAAGTCCTGTTATACTTTTATTATTTTTCTGATTATCTTTCAACCGTATGTAGGTCGCAATATGGAAGAAAATACCTGTTCAGTATGTTTATAACTTGTGTCTTTTAGACCGGAATGTAATCACTGTTTTTTTTTATCAAGGATTTATGTAAAGTGTTCTCCGTTGAGGAACTACTGAAGACAAACAGTTTTCCAATCTCTCCGGCATCAGGAACATCAGAGACTGTGACTTCTGGCAGCCCTTTACCTCTGTCCCTCAGGCCATCATCGCCTCTTCCACTCACCCCATCCACTCCTCTTCTACCCTGTCCGTCACCCAAACGCAGCCCCTCGCCTTGTTCAATTTCAGCTTTCCCTGCCCCAAGCATCTCACCCTGTTCCAATGCCTCACCATCTTCTACTGAATTAATACCTAAGAGAAAGTCTACCACTGAAGACGCCTTGCTGAAGATACTGGAGCAGCTGGACTGGGAGAGGGAGAGGGCCATGCAGCAGGACAGTGAGGATTTCAGATTCGCTGCTGTCATTGCAGACATGTTGGCAAAAATTGATCCTCAGCTGAAGTCTGAGGTTAAGTTCAAGATCTATCAAATAATGTATGAGGCTGGGCAAAAAAAACACACGTAACAGATCATGTTTTTACTGAGACTGTAGCATTGGCAATTGTTTTTAGGAAAGAATATTTTTAAATGTCTATTTTGCAAATATGCGTATACTTTTTGTGTATTTATGCAAAGATGTAAATAAGAATTTGAAAGGATATTTTGTTTTATTTGTACATTTAAACAAGTATTTGTGTAGTACATTTTATTGCATATTGAATAAAAATTTGAAATTGAACTGGAGTTTGATTTTTATTTTATTTTGAATAGAGAACAGCTTGTACAGCTTTTATTCTGTGTAAATATACTAAAATATATAGTATTTTTTTTTAATCTAAAATGTGAAGACATAAAATGAACCCACAGGTCAAAGAATATTTGTGACCATGGGACCACAAAACCAGTCATAAGGGTAAATTTTTCGAAATTGAGATTTGAACATCATCTGAAAGTTGAATAAATAAGCTTTACATTGATGTATGGTTTGCTAGGATAGGACAATATTTGGCCGAGATACAACGATTTGAAAATCTGGAATCTGAGGGTGCAAAAAAAATCTAAATGTTGAGAAAATCGCCTTTAAAGTTGTCCAAATTAAGCCACTTATGTTTTGCTGCATATTTGTCCTTAGCAATGCATATTACTAGTCAAAAATTAAGTTTTGATATATTTACAATAGGAAATTTACAAAATATTTTAATGGAACATGATCTTTACTTAATATCCTAATGATTTTTGGCATAAAAGAAAAATCAATAATTTTGACCCATACAATGTATTTTTGGCTATTGCTACAAAAATATACCCCAGCGACTTAAGACTGGTTTTGTGGTCCAGGGTCACATTTGAATATGTAGATTTTCATTTGTGCAGTTTAGTGTATACTTGTCCTATGCCACAAACATAAGAAAAATGGTACAAAGCAAACGGTACCACTGGGATTATTAAGAGCCAGCAATATGGAAATTTATTGAATGTGCTTTTAAGCATTTATTTTTTTTATTTAATTTTTTTTTTACACATGGCATTGTTGAAAGTGTGTAAAGGTCATCTTTATTAGCACTTTTTTGTTCGGGATCAGTGATTTTTATTTTTATTTTAAATTTTTTTAAAGATCAAATTACAGTAAAAACAGTGAAATATTATAGTTTAAAATGAATGTTTCTATTTTAATATAATGTAAATGTAATTTATTCTTGTGATGGCAAAGCTAATTTTTCAGCAGTCATTACTCCAGTCTTCAGTGTCACATGATCCTTCAGAAATCACTCTAATATGCTGATTTGCTGCTCAAAAAGCATTTCTTATTATCAGTTATTAATGTTTAATGTTTGTATGGGAATCTTGATACTTTTTTCAGGATTCTTTGATGAATACAAAATTAAAAAAAACATTTATTTGAAATACAAGTCATTGTCATATTATTTATGTCTTTATTATCACTTTGTTATATCACCATTGATCAATTTAATGCATCATTACTGAATAAAAGTATTCATGTCTTTAAATAAAAGAAATTATTACTGACCCCAAATTTTTTAACAACAGTGTATGATTTGGTGAGTCATTCACATGTTGTTCCTGTACAGATGGTGTCAGTGGAGGAGAGTGGGCCGAAAGCTTCTGTCTCTACTGAACCAGATGGTTTGAGTCATATTCTGAACCAGAGTGTCATCCTGGACGCCCAACAAGTTAGAGAGGTCAGTACGCACAAACATACATGAACACTAATGCATAGCCAAAGTCAGGCAGCTTTGCAAAATAAAGACCTGTCCTGATTCTGGAGGCCTGGTGTGTTTAATGAGTAGTAAAACAACTTCTCTCAGATCGCAAAAGAGCTGCCGCCTCGTACAATCGGAAACACGTGGCAGCTGTCCTACAGCACAGACAAACACGGGGCCAGTCTCAAGACTCTTTACAGGAAACTCAGCACCACTGACTCACCTGTGCTGATTCTCATCAAGGACTACAACCAGCAGGTCATACATTTTTTCACAGCTCTGATCAGAATGGACATCTAAAGGTCACTGTTCATGTGATTTTAATTCCCCACAATAAATTGAAATTTTGCTTCCACTTGTAATTTTGACCTAAGACGGATAGATGTTTTGCTTTTGTAAATGTATATTGGTTGGTTATTGAGTGGTTTTTACTACTTCTCAGGTTTTTGGGAGCTTCCTCTCACATCCGCTGCATCCTAGTGATGCATTTTATGGCACTGGAGAGACCTTCCTGTTCCTGTCTCATCCACGCTTTAAGGTAAATTCCAATAAAGGCATATTTGAGAATATTTAACAAATAGACAGGTTTACAAGGACAATATCTTTTAATCACCTTCATCTTTAAATTTGTTTCCTTTAAGTGTTTCCATTGGACTGGGGAAAACTCTTAGCCTGTAGGAAAACCTTCTTTCTGTAGATTACTCTTGCAATGGTAATAACATCAATACTCTTAAGTTATCTGTACAAAAAATTATTCTACAAATGTCAAAAATTATAGTCTTACAAAACCAATGCAATATAATACATATGAAAATGCAGTCACACAATACTGAAAGTGTTCATATTTGTTTCCTTTAAGTGTTTCCATTGGACTGGGGAAAACTCTTTTTTTATCAAAGGAGATTTGGACTCTTTTGCCATTGGAGGAGGAAGGTACATATTAGTTTTCTACAAAATGTGAATGTGCAAATCTGAATGCAGAGCAGCATATTTCTTATTCCTCATTTTAGATTTGGTAACACAAAAGCTTGTACATTTTGTGTAAAAAAACTTAATTTGTCTCTTTTTATCCCAGTGGTCACTTTGGTTTGTGGGTGGACGAGAGGTTGTTCTTGGGCAGAAGCAGCCCCTGTTTCACCTTTAATAACTGCAGTTTGTCTGAGACCAACGACTTCACGATTCTGGAGTTGGAAGCCTGGACATTCGGCTGACACAACTAGCATTGTAAATAATCCAAAACATCATGATTTAGTGGAAATATGGCCATTAACAGATAAACTAATTCTCCACAGTTTACTGACACCTGTAAATCAAAGGAAAGAGACGATGCGAACTGTGAATGCAGAATATTCTGCCTGAAGGGAAGTCAAGGGAATGAAAGTTCACCTAACATCTTTAACACCATGATGAAGAAAACCTGTTTCGTCTTGTGATTAAGATGCTTTTCGGTCCAGTTCATTATTTGAATGTGTGCACTTCATCATACAAGAAAATTGTTTTGTGTTTAAGTGAATTCTGGGACAGAATGGAGGACTGTCTACCCGAATAACATTATCTAAACAGTATGTGTTTGTACTAGTGAGGTTGATCGCAGATCCTGCATCATTACTGCAGCTCTGGTTACAGCTTGAATATTATTGTGGTGAGGAACTTTTTTTATCCATGTTAATTTAGGACTCAACACAAATAAGCAACAATACGACTAAATAGCACTGATTAAAGCCTCATCTGCTGTTAGTAAGCACAGCATTGGCTATAAACACTGGTTTAGGCATTAGTTTAAACCCACAGCTGAACTTTTTTACACATGGAAAAGGTTTCTCATTGCTCAAGCAAAAACAAAACCAAGACTGAAATGACTTGGGTTGAATACCACACATAAACATCACACAAACCTCAGTTGCATGTTTCAAGTCTTGAGAGGCTTTTGGTGTCACAATCCTTTCTTAGACATCCACAAAGTCTTAAGGACCCGTGTGGATGTGTTCCTAGCCTGTAGGAAAACCTTCTTTCTGTAGATTACTCTTGCAATGGTAATAACATCAATACTCTAAGTTATCTGTACAAAAAATTATTCTACAAATGTAAAAAATTATAGTCTTACAAAACCAATGCAATATAATACATATGAAAATGCAGTCACACAATACTGAAAGTGTTCATTGACTTGTTACCTAATAAAATATTAGATTAACATTGTTTCATTTATTTAAAAAAAAAAACATTGTATTTATTTGATGCTGACAGAATTGTATTTACACAAAACTGCAGTTACAGGGATGTTATTTCATGCACTACCATTCAAAAGTTCAGTACAAAATTATAGTTTTTATTCAGCAAGGACACATTAAATTGATCAAAAGTGACAGTAAAGACATTTATAATGTTACAAAAGACTTCTATTGAACATTCTATTCATCTATTTCATTCTGAAATGTATCACTGTGTCTTACAAAAAATATTAAGCAGCACAACTGTGTCAGCATTGATAAGACGTTTTTGAGCAGCAAATCAGCATATTAAAATGATCATGTGACACATCACAGGAAAACATTACATTTTAAAACATAAAAGATAAATTGTAGTAATATTTTATAATACTACTGTATTTAGATCAAATTAATGCAGTCTTGGTGAGCATAAGAGACCTGTGTCAAAAACATCTAAACAAATCTTGCAGCTCCCAAACTTTTGAACAGTAGTGTTTACATTAAAAAAAATAAAATGTAGGGTTCCTTCCAGTTTCTACTCTGGTCTTGTGGTAGAAAGAATCAGACATGAGTGCATGTGTGCTTTTTGCATTAGATTTAATTTATAAGAGACAAAAAAATGTGATGTTCCTAACTGACCATTATGTACCTCCAACCTTACACAAAAGTGGATTTCAGGTGTGATATATTAGAGCCCATGGCAGCGTTCCTGCAGCTGTGTGGTTGAGTTGAAATCCAAGGCTTTGCTTTGTGTGTGTTTTAGCATATTACCAGTATTCTGTTCAGACACAGAAAAGCAGACATTGCTTCCACAGACTTAAACAACAACATCAGGCCTGGTCTCACCCTGATTGGGCTTTCAGACCAGACCATCACAAACGGTCTAATCGAGGAAGCCACAGTCGGCAACGTTCTGTGTCCTACAGAACTATCTGGAAATATAGCTGCAAGCAGCAATCACGGGGCCAAGCACTCCAGAGGCAAATTGAGGAGCTAAGCATGGCATGGAGCATCAGACCAAATGCAACAATGAGTAATAAAAGCAATTTTAGGATGATTGTAATTGAAATGGCTGAAAAATCGTAAATACAACCACTAGTAATGTGATTAAATGGCTTATCACTTTTAACCAACAGCTGTCGCTGCAATCAAATCGTTTTGGTCTGTTCTGTGTGAGCAAATTGAGGAGCTAAGCGTGGCATGGAGCATCAGACCAAATGCAACAATGAGTGATAAAAGCAATTTTAGGATGATTGTAATTGAAATGGCTGAAAAATCATAAATACAACCACTAGTAATATGATTAAATGGCTTATCACTTTTGACCAACAGGTGGCGCTGTAATCAAATCATTTTGGTGTGTTCTGTGTGAGGTGACAATGGCACACACAAAGTTTGTTGTCATTATGTCAAAGTTTTGAAGAGCTATAGCCTTAGAGTCATTTTGGCACCATGCCTAAAATTTGTAGCAGCGCTGTACGAAAACAGTTTCGTCTATCGACACGAAATTCATAACATTTTGTCAGCACAGTCTGAAGATGATTTGACTCGATTTTGGTGAAAATCGGACCAAGGCTTGAGGAGGAGTTCGAAAAAGTAGGTTTACAGCATAAATCAAAATGGCCGACCGGCAGTTCAGATTTGCTAAGCGAAAATTGGCATGTCTGTTGTCGGAATAAGCCAAGGAATATTTTGAGAGCAGTTTCATTGCAATAGGCTAATGCAATCAAAAGTTATTAGCATTTTTTTAAATTTCATAATAATAAATCAATGGTTTATTACTCTTGACCAATAGGTGGCGCTGTTACCAAATTGATGTGGCGTGGTCATTGTGAGGTGACAATGGCACATACAAAGTTTGGTGCAAATACGTCAAAGCTTTGCAGCGATACAGCCTCAGATGCATTTTGCCATCTTAACCAGCAAATTCGTTGATGTGCTAAACGAAAACCGTTTCGTATATCGACACGAAATCCATAACTTTTTGCCAGCTTGGTCTGAAGATGATCTGAGTCAAATTTGGTAGGAATCTATAAACATCAGTCTCATTACAATATTATAATGTATGCAAAAGTTATTAGCATTTTTATAAATTGCTTCCAAACTTTTTGAGTACCATCAGGGCAAGATGCATACTGATTTTCATAATAACAAAGTCTAAGCGTTCTTAAAATATTGAATTTTTTGACAAAATTTAAAATGGACGACACCCAAAATGGCAAACATGGGAAATTGGTATGGTTCGACTCGGCATGCTCCACCGAATCTAAAGAGACCAGTTTTGTTATTTTTAGCCAAACCATTCAGAAGTTATAAGCAAAAATATGCATTTTTTTATATCGCCTGACCACTAGAGGGCACTGCGCCGAAACACTGCAGGTAGTCTCAGGTCATGCTTGTTATAACACACACCAAGTTTGGTCTCAATACGCCAAACCGTTGCGGAGATATAGCCTCACATCCATTTTTACGTGCTTTCCGTAGAATTCCTTTGTGCGTTTTTCGAGAATGGTGGGACAAATCAACTTGAATTCCATAACTTTTTTCCTGCATTGTCTGAAGATGATCTGAGCCAATTTTGGTGAGAATCAGACAAACCGTCTAGGACGAGTTCGAAAAAGTAGGTTTTACGAACAATTAAAAATAGCGAAAAAACTAAACCTTGCGATTTTTGAATTTTTGTGTTCATTCGACTCGGCATGAGCCAAGGATTCAGAGGAAAAATTTTCATTTTGTGCCTTATGGTTCAAAAGTTATTAGCATAAAGATATGTGGTGGCGCTAAAGAGTTGGAGTTAGAGATTCCAAACTTGCTGTGGTTACTGTTGAGACTGTCCTCTATCAGTGTGCCAAATTTCACAACTTTCCCGCAAGCGGTTCTATGGGCTGCCATAGACTTTCGGCGGAAGAAGAAAAATTACGCTAAGGGATATAATAGGTGCCACTGCACCTTCGGTGCTTGGCCCCTAATAACAAAACAAATATGCAGCAAAACATAAGTGGCTTTGTATGCATGAAACAAAAGTATAAAAGTGGTTTCATCAAATCAATATACAACATAATGCTATTTCAGTTCATTAGTCTGAACAATGGATCAGACTAATGACATTCGTCACTCAGGAAGTGGTAGGTTTGCACATAATTGGCAAATTTTCTATATTAAAATATATGACTTAATTGAGATTGTGTTGTGTACAGTTAAGCACCAATGAAACCTAAAGGGGTGACAAACCACACTCTTGTGACACTAGTGACAACTTGATGTTATATTTGTGCACTTTTGCATGGAACGTGTCACTCTAACATGTGGTCACCAGCTGCCTTCTGAATGAAGGAATTGCATCAGCTCCTCCATATTCCGTTCCTAAAATCAGACACGGGGGAGCAGAGCTGATATCAGTGCTCCCTTTCTTTCTCTCTCATATACTCCCCTCATTTATCTCTAATGTGCACCGATGTTTCTGGAGAGATAGTCTTGAAACAGTTTTATGATTCCAGGTAAGGTCTGGCCTTTTCGAGCCCTTCCTGCAGGAAGCGGATGTATGTGGAAGTTGAAGGATCCTCAAAACCTGCTGAGAAACTGATAGCAGGCCCCTCTTCCTCCTCTGGTTTCATGGATGTCTGGTCCAGGAAATTATTAGCATTGATGTGATGGACCTGCAGAAGTTACAGTGATATTCATCTAAGGAACTTGAACAAGAACAGTTGGCACAGACTGAACCAAATGTTTAAGAAAACTAAAGCAGACTCACCACAGTGCCGTTGGGCAACGCCACCATCATCTCCACTGGAAAAGTATACTTTTCCAAATGTAAACGAGCCTTTTCACTCAAATCCAGATTCTTCTTATCACCCTAAATGAAGGTAAGACACTTAGTTAGCGCTGATATATGTCTAAATAAGGACTATTTCATTTAGCTTAACATGCATCAGCTAAATAACCCAAACTCCCCACCCGCAGATCCTCCAGCTCTTTGACTAGAGACCAGCTGCTGATGAAGCTCTGGTTGAGCAAGGCCAAAACGGGCGAACTCTCGAGAACTGTCTCTCGAAGAGTCCGCCCCGAACCTAACGCAGATAAGGAGCAAGAGAAGTGTAAAGAACACAAATTAGAGTAACATCTAATGTAGCTGAAAGAAACTTTAAAACCCATTCTGACCAATGATTAACACTGTCAGAAGATATCAAGATACAGATGAAGTCATGCTGACCATTATGGCCAAACTTAACTGCTCCAGAAGCTTGTATTCTACGTTATGCCCGTTTCTGGGTGTCTTACCTCAGCATGACTGGTCATCCAGGGCTCCCCAGAGCAGGATGGAGTGAACCAGCTTCTTCTCTGCATCAGCTCTGCTAAAGGCCTCATTGAATGGTAAATATGGCACCTTCCAAAAAGAAAACCCACTGATGAGATTGACAATGATAATGACAACACTGAAAACATTTCTACTTGTCTGTTAAACAACCAATATCACAAAAAAACCTATGATATCTCGAAAGAACATCTGTTCAGTATTGCTGCATATTCTTCAGAACAGATTTCAAGTATGAATCTGTGATACAGAAAAGAGGTTGAGGATCGAGAGTCAGGGGACTCACCTTTTTAAATGGGTACATTGTGACCTCTAGGTGTCTGGATGCTTCTTCTCTGCTCATCTCTGCACTCCAGACAATCTCCTCAAACACGAACTGAATGGGCTCTCCTCCCTCCCCTCGGCTGTCAATCATGTTCCCCTGCTCGTCATAGATCACTGAGGGAGTGGAGGGACCTTCTGCCCGGAGATCCATCTAAAAACATATATGGCCCATTTACTTTATGCATGTTTTAGCCAAGAATGCCATGTATGGCTTTGATTCATAAGCAAAAATAAAAACTATAAAGCATGCAACAAAATGTCAGGAGAAGCATTTTCAGCATTATGTATACCACAAATCAAAACCCTCTGAAGATGTTCTGCATAAATATGAGCACTAACCTGAGGCAGGTATCCAATATCCACCTCCATGTTGCTGCTCTCACTAGCCCCATAAAGCCACTCCATGTCCACATTCAAAGATCTGCCATATAAAACAATTAACTAAGGCAGCAGGATAATGGATAAACCGAAAATCTATTATTTTGCTCAAAAATGATAATCGCAAGTGTTAATCACAAATATAGTCATTTGAGAAATTTCTTCTTACATTTCATCTGAAAAATTATTGCCCTTACACAAATGAAGAGAATGTCAAGTCATACGCATGGTTTATTTTATCATCTAATTTCCAGATTTTATTTATCATATTGTTTAAACATTCTCTACATTAAGAACTAAAATAGTTAAATTTCTAATTATTATTGCAAATACCTAATAATCGAACATTTTTCTATTAATATGGAAGCATGTGGAACCAGTGAGCAAATATTGCAGGCAATTATGCTAAAATAATTGAGAGAAACAGAAATCATGATCACTATTAATTACGCAGCCCTACACTTAGCACCTTAAAAGTGTTAGGAAATGCAGTTAGGAATAGTGGAGGGAAGACTGACTTGTCATTTGGGACGTAGAGGTGAAACTCTCGGACGTGAGAAGCATCTTTGGAGAGGATGATGTTACCAGCAAACTGCCCAGGAGTGAACCAGAATGGAAAATCTGGAACATCATTCAGCTGGAACTCAGCATGGATTCTGTAATTAGTAACACAATATGATCAGACTCTGTTGGAGGCTCACAATTAAAATAAAGTTATAATTAATTAATAATAATTTATAAATTTAGCAGACATTTTTTCCTACATTTTTTACCAGTAAGTGTGTTCCCTGGGAATTGAACCCATGACCTTTTGCGCTGCTAATGCAATGCTCTACCACTGAGCCACAGGAACATTATACCATTATACTATATAACATATACTAAGCTTTTTATATTCGGCTAACAAAACTCAAATTGAATTCAGCTGGACACACTTTCCTGTTTATCTCAACAAATGGCCAAGCAAAGCGCACGACACTGACAAGGTACGCGATACAGTACAAGACCAAACGCGATTTCAGCACGTCTCCACACAGTAAACAAAACAAGCGTTTCCTAGCAACGACAACTGCGCTAAACAAGGAGACAAGAAATAAATACACTTTAAAACTGAAGTTACAATCAGATATTAAGTGACACACACAGTATATTTCTTCTGGATTTTAAGAAAATCCCATTTATTCTGGATGACAAAAACTTTATCCAAGCATGGCAGCATGTTTTTTAACTCACCTGAAAACAATGTCATAATAAAAGTCACTAGCAGCCCGTATACAAGCCACAGCTCCCTGTGGAGCGAAGCGAGATTTCACAAAGGGCCGCGGGTGGAACATACTCAGCATAGAGTGGATCAGTACCTGGAGAGAAATTAAACAATCACAACATCTATCCACCAACTAAACAGAAAAGGACAACCTCGGATCACCTATTATTCATTATACATGTGGTTAAATCCAAGTAACATTAAGTTAAAATGTTTTTGATTTGTAATTTAGCTCAAACATTCAAACTAATTTAAAATTCTTAAAGGTATATTTGTACCTCTTTGCCTCGCGGTGTGGGAGGATGATAGTGGTTGTTGGGAAGGTAGCCGGTGAAGATGTTCAATTCACTGGGAATGATCCACCAAGTGTCGCCCAGGGCAGATTTACCACTGGGTGGCAGGAAGACCTTGAACTGCCTGGCATAAAACGTGGATGAAAGAACAGCTGGACGTTTCCAAAATCTCAGCCCACTAAGAGAGCTGTGTGAAACCTGATGAGAAAGACACTGCTCTCAATTGACCTTATAAGCACATTTTGGGTATGCACCTTGGAACAGTCCACTGTCTATATTTTTTACAATTATTTTAAGCTTAGTTTTTTAATACATTTCTTATTATTGGTAATTAATTTTTTTTTTTCAATCATTATTTAAATCATCACCCTGTCTGTTTATAACCTTGATAGCGGTTCAGACGAATTTATAAATAATGTGTAATGTTTACATTACCCCTAGAAAGCCATCTTTGCTCTTAGTCATGCTTTCGAGCAATAAAGGCTGCATTTTAGCATGTAGGGTCAGCGTCTCTCCATTCGGGTCATGTGGTATCTCCTCTTCAAACTCTGGGGGAGGTGCTGCACCTTCAGGCAACAGAGATGGACATCAGGCATTACAACAATGCTTTAAACTCTCAGCTGGAATTCAGGTTTCTACAGTGATGGAGACTATACCCTTGAAGCATCTTAATTCTGCTTCAATAGATAATATCTACTTGTGAAAGGATGTTGATGCTCTGCAAGTGCACAGACAGCAAGAATAATACCTGTGAGTTTTTCTGCAATAGGTTTGAATTCCTCTGGACTGAGATAGAGGTCATGATCAATATCCAGGGATGAGAAGAAAAAGAGTCCGTCTGCTCCCAGTTCCTTCAATCCTGCCTCCTACAACAGATACATATCCAAAATTAATTTCACAATCCATTTATTTTTTTTTAATTCAGAATTGTTTATTGAAATGTCACGTCCCAGTTCAGTTTGCTTTCCATAATTCAACAAATAAAAACAAAGACATTAAAAATCTAAATATAATTTGCAAATACATTGCAATTCATTTACATATCTCAGCTGTTTTTGCATTTTAATAAAACACTATTTATTAACTGTTTCATATCTGTGATACAACTTTCATACAATCAACATTTTTAGTAGCCTACGGTTTAAAAGAAAAAAACATTTCTGTTATTAAAAAAAATAATAATTTGCTTTGATCACAATTTATTTTACTTGGCTACAAGTTCACTCATCAATTCTCTACTCATTACGAATCACCCTGTTCGAACGAGGCGATTGTTCAATCAGTGGCTTGCTGACAGACTGGTTCAGTCCATTCGTGGACGAATCATTCAGACAGATTTCTGTGAAACGGTTCAATTGATTAATTGAAAAGATTCGACTCAAAAGAACGAGCTGTACGCTAGAAAGCACAGCAGAATACTTGCCCCAAGGCAACAGGACACAATGATGTCTACGTCTATTTATTTTTAACTGAATTCCTGACATACTTTTAATGTTGTGTCTGGGTCTATTATCAGTTTGAGAAGGAGGGCAGCCTGGAGAATCTGTTTCATGTAGGAAGCGACACAGAAGTAACACTGGTGTATGAGAAATAGGGGGGTTGCTGTTCTAACGGCCTTGCCCAGCTGTGGCAATTATCCAACCCTTATAAAACAGCGGGCAGCTGGAGCACCAGATGTAAGTTTAATGTTTTCAAACAAAAACAGAAGACGTGGCAAAGACAGTTCAAGAATTAATCTTAGAAGAGGGATGTTTAAAACTAAGTAAACTTATTGAAATTTTACAAAGAGCCAGGGCTACATGTGACTTGAACAGCTGCAGTAAATCACACAGTACCTCTGAGAAGCATCCCTCCTTCACGGGTCAAACTGCAATGAAATTCTGACCAAACTGGTATTAACTTACATGTCGTTTCACAAGCTGGATGCCCTGGTAATATTTAATGCAAAAGCCGATGAAAGGAACAGCAGCGATTAGAAATAAACTGGAGAATTGCTTGAAACGTGAGCGGGCGCGTCTGCTGGATGGAGTCGCGCGATCTTCATCATGATCATCCTTTGGCTCTCCAGCAAGAGTTTTGTCCACGTCTGCGGCCATCCTCTAATAAATGTCTCTATCTGCTCTGTAAATCACTACTGGGCCACAAAAATAGCCCAGGGTGATATAAAAACTCTTAAGTGAAGTAGCACAGTAGTCACGGGTTCGTCTCCGGTGTACAACGAGCCGTTATCGTAGCGGCGCAAGAGGAAATCACTCCTGCTAGTGGATAATTTCTGTCGCTCTTAAAGGGCCAGTGCGCACATTCATGCTTTTGAACTCGATGGGCGCTTGTTCAAATCTAGTGAGCTGCCTGTCTAGACAACATTCGGAACGTGACTAAGTTGGCCAAAATGCTGTCGAGATAGGCAGCCAAGTAGGTTTTGAAACAGCATATAATGTATGACAATAATTACATGGTTCGGGGCCAAAGAATGTACTGGATCATTATTTTTGTCATTAGTGCTGCTAATACAGTTATGTATTTGTGTAATGTTCACGAAAAGGACATTTCAACCCTAGGCACACTAGACGTGTAGACTAGAGTTGTTGTACAATTATTTCTTTAATATTAAGTGAGAACGGAAGAATTCGGTCAATAATATTATTAAAAATTTGGAAACAGTGAATAAAGGACAAATAAGGAAAAGGATCTGTAAATTACAACTGTGGTAATTCTAAGCAAGAAAAGTTGTTGTACAATTATTTCTTTAATATTAAGTGAGAACGGAAGAATTCGGTCAATAATATTATTAAAAATTTGGAAACAGTTAATAAAGGACAAATAAGGAAAAGGATCTGTAAATTACAACTGTGGTAATTCTAAGCAAGAAACAAAAAACATAATTGAGGGTCCCACACTCTTTAATCAATACATTTCCATGTTTTTCCCATGACAGATTACAGGATTAGGTTTTTAACAATCATTTACAGTTTGCTGGCATGGATTTCATTTTACAACTACATGCCATTGTTCCAGAAGGGCACATGACAAATAAACTGTAAAATAACCCCCCAGGCACACTAGACGTGTAGACTAGAGTTGTTGTACAATTATTTCTTTAATATTAAGTGAGAACGGAAGAATTCGGTCAATAATATTATTAAAAATTTGGAAACAGTTAATAAAGGACAAATAAGGAAAAGGATCTGTAAATTACAACTGTGGTAATTCTAAGCAAGAAACAAAAAACATAATTGAGGGTCCCACACTCTTTAATCAATACATTTCCATGTTTTTCCCATGACAGATTACAGGATTAGGTTTTTAACAATCATTTACAGTTTGCTGGCATGGATTTCATTTTATACTATACAACTACATGCCATTGTTCCAGAAGGGCACATGACAAATAAACTGTAAAATAACCCCCCCAAAAAAAAACTTTTTCAGGACATTTTAAAATCCAAATAGGGTTTACAGATCTTTATTATACTTATACTTTATTATTCTTTACTATATTATACTTTATTATCATACTTGTTCAATGAACCATAAACAAGTATTGCATGTTTGCACATGCTCCTGTGGAACAGTCCATAAAATACCAACAGTTCACACACAGGCAATTAAAGCCAGATTTACAATACCTTTGGACATAAAAGAGACCTTTCTACTGACTCTGAAAAACACTAGAAGAAAGATGCCCAGGGTCCCTGATCACCTGCGTGAACATGCCATAGTCCTGCTACAGGGAGGCATGAGGACTGCAGATGTGGCCAGAGCAAACTCCATAATGTAAGAGGCCTATGACGGTGCTACAGGGAGACAGGAAGGACAGCTTATCGTGTCAAACCATGTGTTCACGCAGACATGTTTGAGAACTTGTGTCTTGGTGAACATCTCACAGCAAGAACTGTCAAATCCGGTACAGTCCATGAGGATGAGATGCACTGTAGTACTTAAAGCAGCTGGTGGTTATACAAGATACTCAATGTGGCTTTTAATATTGACCCCCACGCCCTCCCTTTGTTCAGGGACTCATTATTTCATTTCTTTTCATCAAAGACTTGTTCAGTTTGTCTCACTTGTTGCAACTTTTTATGTTCATACAAATATTTACACATTAAGAAATTTGCTGGAAAGAAAGTAGTTAAAAAAGGAGAGGACGTTTCTTTTTTGCTGAGTTTATATTCACATACATAATGAACATTGTGAGGCTTTCAGTCCCAGAAGGTTGCTTGTTGTAAGCAGACCGTACCAACGTAATTTCACAACAGTGTATGAAACTGTAGCCAGCTGTTCCAGGACTTCTCCAAAATCAAACAAGTCTGAATTTACAGAGAATTGTCAATGAATATTCATCAAAATTATATCAACTCATTTTATATTTTACAACTTACTTTCAATCTCCATAAATTAATTTCAGCTCTGAAACAGGTTAAATTGTTGCTCTGAGTCCAGAAGAGCAAGAGTCCACAGAGAGGCAGACCAAAGTCCTCTTTCAGTCCATATCTTCCTCGACCTGCTGTGTGTGAACCTCTATGGTTTTGGGTGGGATGTAGGAGCCCATTCCTGCTGCCCGCTCTGCCTTGGCCTGTGTATATGGCTCTTCCCTCAGCTGCTTCAATCTAAAAAAAAAAATTTTTAAAAACGCTTTTTAGAATTAATAAATATACATAGGAAACCCAGGCATACTTTTTGAGCTTATGCAAGTAATGTATTTTATATGTGATCCAAAGATTCAACATTAAGAGAAAAGAGAAAAGATTTTATGGTTCGACTCACCGTTTTTTATGAAGTTTGGACTTGAAATGCTCCTTCAGGGTTTTCAAATCGACAAAATATCTCCTTCAGAAAAGGAAGAAAAAAATTAAAATGAAAAGCTTAATATTTTAAAATTACTAAAAGTACAATAAAAAAAAGAAAGAAAGAAAGAAAAAAAAAAGTGTCTGATCGGGGTGGTGAGGTGTGACTTACGCGTTTCTCAACGGCTCTGGTGTTCACCAGATGGCAGTAAGTTACAGAAGGCAGCGCATGACTCAAATCAGACGAAGCAGAGTTTATGGGTCGTTGCTATGGAGATTCTGTCGCAACCACCCTGTATAGAGTTTTTAGTAAAGCTTTTACTAAAGCCAATTAAATAAAGCACCATGTCTGGTAAATATATTCATAACAATTATTTCTATAATTTATAATGTATATTCTAAATATAAATACTTGTTACTTGTCAAATAACTTAAACTCTTACGTTTCTTTTCTCTTTTTGGCTCTAACTTCAAGATATAAAAGCCTCCTTGATTTAACTTTGCTGCTCTTTGTTGCAGAGATTACAACTCTTAAAATCTCTTACATTTTTCCAAATGGAGACAAATATGGTGATTTAGCTGACAGCTTTTAACGTGTCTGTGAGTGTTCTCTTTCATTAAACAGGCGTGTACTTGTGTGTTGTGTGTGATTAGAGGGCGAATGCTGTCGTACTTCAGATGGTGTGGTGATGAGGAAAGGTCTGGCACACAGACATCAGCCTCTGGAGTTACTTACACTGCAGAATGGGACAATGATAAGGTGTGTGTGGGATGTTTTTTTTTTTTTAATAATAATTACAATATTTAAGTAAGTCACATTAACTTTAATCTCATGTGCACTAAAGCTGTCAAGATCAGTGACATACTGGAGCTTTAGTTACCTGATCTCCGTTCATAGCCTACTTTTCGATTTTTATCTCAGTCATGAGTGCAACTAATTGGATGAAATGTAAATTCAGACATGCAACAACTACCTATTTTACTTCTCTTATTATGCTTTTAGTAATTATGTCTTGGTTGCTGGTTTTATGTGGCCTGTAGATGAATGGCAGAGGAACTCTTACACACCCTTCAGGGGGCGTTTTACAGTGACCTGTTCAGAGACAACATGCATCATGGCAAAGGAACTTACCGATTTCCTGATGGGACAGAATACACAGGAACCTTTAACAACAACAGGTGATACAGTATATAATCAGTTCTGCAAACATATGCAAAGCAGGATTCAGCATTATTGTCATAAGAAAGGCTTAAGTGTCATAAAATAAATTTTTTCACAAACACACACCATTTAAATGAATAGAGCAAAAAAAGAACAAAAAAA